GCAAAAGTGCACCGCATGCAGACGGAGGAATGTACCGGGTTCGACCGTCTTTCTAGCAGCTCTGTAGCCCCATCCACGAGTAACGTTTCCACGTCAGGTGTTATGTATGCTAGCAGCAACACACGGAGTTAACTACATGATACAAACATGGGTTAATGATTAGAGGTAACTGAGTTATTTAGTTTGTTAAAAATTCAGCTATTCTGTTTACAGTCTGTCATCAGATTATTTAATACGATTTGTTAAAGGCTCAGGGCAATCTCGATGACAAAGGTCAATGTCCCCCCCCCCTGTGAGCCAGCCGCGAGCATGGTCGCCGCGTCTTTATTACGTCATCACAACAACACGTTAGGTTACCAACGTAAGCCTGTTCTGACATTCGGTGATATTTTTTCGGTGCTAAAACCCTTTCGGCCGAAAGGGCCTTTTTAACCATTTTCGGCCGATAATTTTCGGTGGCCGAATATTCGGTGCATCCCTACATTTTACCCGCAAACAACAATATTAAAGTCTCCCAGTCCCTTAGTTTAGCTGAAAGTGTGTTATGTAGCACCCTCTGTTGTTAACAATTGTCAATATGAAGTCAGATTGAAAAAATCGCCAAAAAAAAATGCCATTTATACCTATATCCGCCAGCGGGTAATATTTACCTCATAGAAAATGCAGCGTAAACATGACGTGTTGCTATAGCAACGCCTTTTGTCTACTGCGGTTCCTCATAGAGAGAGAGATAGATTGGTAGATGGATAGAGAGATAGACAGATAGATAGTTATAGATAGTAGTCCGCGTCGTCTGTTTATGTAGACAATTATATGTCCATAGAACAGAACATTACAGATAGATCGATAGATAGAGAGATAGAGAGATTTGTACCTGCACCAAGCGTTTTAAATCAGCACTCTTAGCGATATTTTATACTTCATGCTATCTGCACAAACTATATCATATGAAAAGCTGAGAGTCCACAGATTATATTGGTATAAATGTAATCCCTGTGCGATCAAAACTCACTGTTCTGTATGATAAATAAAAGAACATTGTACCTTGAAAATCAATAGCGGGTACATTTTACCCGTTGGCGGCTTTAGGTATACGGCGACCTCTGGCGGTTCTAGTGTTAATGTAATTGGCAGAAGACAAAAGCTTAAGGCCATAGGAACTAGATCACGGTCGCATGACTTCACATCACCACTGCTAAGCTAAAGACGGCTAATGTTCGGCGAGATGACAGTTAGTAGTCTTATTTAGTCCCTTGTTAGCAACTGCTGTTTTCATAACAGAAGCTTCAGACATTCACCAGTGGAGTATTAACTAATGTGTTTCATGTTGTTGATCAAAACATTAACATCTCTTAAGCGTGTTAAACACAGTCCTTATTTTAGGCATCTAACAAAAAACACAATCAACAAAACAATGAATTAAAGACAAGGACCCAGAAGTAGTAAAATGTTCCTTTTCTAGTGTGAGGACTCCTTTCTTTATCACTCTGTTGGGTGGCAGTGAGTTTTATTTCTAAATGTAGATAACATATGAAAATAACACATCTTAAGGGGCCTACACACCAAACTGACACCAAAGAACACGTCCCGACGGAACACGACTGTTGTGTTGCCTCATGTCTCCTGCGTCTTGGCCAACAGTCGCACTGGAACACACCGCAAAGACTTCAGCCGATGGCCAAGTAGCACGTACGAACTGCGCATGCGTGAGTGCCAATAACTCTCCTTACCAGCAGGCAGCGGTAGTGTGTATTCGTCATTCAAAAGAGGCAACAACCGGAAGACAGACTGCGTGATAACCGAGAGAAGAAGAACAGACCGTGATATAAACAAACAACAAATAGCGGGTGCGTTCCATTTTTTACTCTACAGCGAGAAGCTCATGGGGCTTTCCCGAACCTGAGTCGAGAGCTGGAGGTAAATGAAATCTCAGATTTGCCTTCTTAATAGTTTGTTTGGGTCCCTCACTTCCGTTTCGCTTTTCATGCACTGATTCGCTAAGCTGAACAGCCAATCAGAGTGATTTCTTTAGCCGACGGCCTCCCGATTGAACATGTTAAATCGGCGGAGGAAGGTGTCGGCACGGCCGAAAAGACACAACGGGGTGGGACACACCAATCTGAGTAGGGCGACCGGACGCTCATCGACGGCCAGACATCTATCGACGCCGAAAATCGGCTTGATGTGTAAGGACCTTTACACTGTTAAGAGTTTACCAGCTTTTTGTTGGTTCAAGCTGTTAGATAAGCTATCGTGCTGAGTATGGTTTGTGTGGGCTGTGTACCCATTGATGTCCTTGCCTAATGGAAATGTTGTCACAGCAGCACAGTCAGTACAATGTCTAAAGAGATGGCGAGTGATCAGTGCAAAGAAAAGGATACAGACGCTGTTGGGCGAGTGATTTTGAGAAAATATTACCTCTAAGGAGAGTGGCTCATACTGGAGTTAAGGGAGTACGCAACAGGCTTAATAAACTCAACTTGGTTAAACTTTATACCGACATTTTTACCTTGGACCCCTAGGACCTCATTCCTTAAACGAATACACTCTATTAGCTTTGCCATTGCCATTTCAGAGGCTTTTCCTTTTACCCCTTTTCCACCAAGATGGTTTCAGGGCCAGTTTGGAGGCGATTATATAATTGATTGTTATACTGTTTTTCATCAATTTAGTATAGGTCTCAGATATATACAAAACATGTCTCTGAAGTGTTTGGCTGAAATACCAAACAGATAATTGTAGCATCCCATAATCCCCTCTGTTTCAGCCCTGTTTCCAAAGTGCTGATTCTCTGTCTGTTACTTTAGATGAAAATAAGGAGCCCCTCCCCACGCCCCTCTGAGAGATATTTGGTTAAAAAGAACACAATGGTGCTCTAGGAGGAGATTCAGGTGATAAGGTGGGGGGTGTTACCTTGGTTGGTGATTGGCTAATGGTTACACAAGCCAAAAATCGTTATGACATCATAAAGTGGGTAAAATCTGATCAGCTCATTTTCAGACAGGTTTTTATATAAATGGATCAGGACAAAAAGTGAGTGAATCTTTTTTCCTGAAACATTCAGAATTTCTTTACACAGAGGGGACACGTGTTGATAAAATACATGAAAATGTGGATTTTGCATAATAGGCAGTGTTGTGCTAGTTACTGAAAACCAGTAACTAGTTACCATTACTAGTTACTTCATTTCAAAAGTAACTCAGTTACTTTACTGATTACTTACACCAAAAAGTAATGCGTTTCAGTACTGTTATTGCATTGGAGAATAATACAATCTGTTGATCAACTTGACATGCATTATATGCAATCTGGATTGCATCGATATTAGCTGGCTTTCCATTTTTGTATATTCTTTCTCCAGGTAGTTGGAAAAAGTTTTCCGTCCCATATGCCGTGTGCCGCCCGGACATGCTATCATGCTAACTAGCTCCCTGAAAGCGGGTGACTCCACTGTAGCAATAGCCTGCATGTGTTCTACAACATACCGTGCAATGGCTTTATCGACTTTTCCCTGGCCAGCAGTCCCTTGGTTAAAATCCAGCCGCTGTTGCTTAGGTGGAGGTGGAGTGGCGTCGGCTGAGTCTCTGTGGTCTTAGCTACTAGCTTCGTCCCAGCATGTTGTTTTTGCAGATGTTTTAAGAGATTTGAATTACAGGTTTGGGCAGTAGATAGGATCTTTGACCCGCCAGGACACAACTTACATTTAACTACAACGTTCTTTTCTTTGTGCTCGACAAAAGTGAAATAGTGAGAATATCTCCAGGTGGAGAAACTAGACTTGAGCTCCGCCGCCGCCATGATAGTCTTGTTAGTAAACAACACAAACACGCCCACAGCGCGTCTCCGCATGTGACACAGGAAGTATCAAAGTACATTTACTCAAGTACTTAAGTACAGTTCTCATCTCTGTTCGCCTGGCTGTTGACTATAAAAAAAAAACTAATGCAGTAACGGAGTAACGCACCATGTAGTAACGGTAACTGCGTTACTGAATTACAAAAGTAATGCGTTAGAGTACTAGTTACTGCCAAAAATAACGGCGTTACACTAACGCGTTACTTTGTAACGCTTTACTTTGTAACGCGTTACTTTGTAACGCGTTAGTCCCAACACTGATAATAGGTGACCTTTAAAAACCAGTTCCCATCATGGAACTAAAACGGAACTGATTTTGCAGTGAAAAAGGGGTATTTTAATTGTTGTAGCTGTATCTACTGCTGCTAAAGTCCACGTTTTCGCAACCATCAAGCAAGTCTGAAAATACTACTGTGCTCCCCATGTCTGGAAGTAGTAAAGGAGGGAACATTTTAACCTGGAATCTGTTTGTTTTGTATGTGGAACATTGGTACTGAAGATGGACCCAGATTGGAGAAACTAAGTCTCTGTTGGTTATTCTTGTAATATGACCCAAGCTTGTTTCTGAAGGTCTTTTGACTTATCTTAACCCTGACACATCAGGCCTGTTCATAATCTTGGAAAAGTCCAATGGTCTATAGATGAAGCTTGAAGCTGATCGGTTTTTTGTTAACTTCCACATGCTACCACAAATGCTGGTCTTTTTCTAGGAAATAAAAAGAGGCAGAATTAATGTCTTGCTCAAGAGCCTGCTGGCACAGTTTGGTATTGAAATCCAGCCCCCAATCATGTCCTTCTTCAGCAAGCACACACACAAACACACACATAAACTGGCATGCAGCACATACACAAATCACCAAACAAAAGATGTTGACAGATCAAGTGAGCCATTTTCAATAATGTATCATCATTGCTCCAGTCTCCAGTGTTCTGGACTGTTTTTGAGTTCAGTTTGGAAATAATTGGATTTATCCTTGAGCGGGGGTGGAAATAATGAGACCACTTCTATACAGTCTAAGACTCCAATCCTGTGTGTGTGTGTGTGTGTGTGTGTGTGTGTGTGTGTGTGTGTGTGTGGGTGTGTGTGTGTGTGTGTGTGTGTGTGTGTGTGTGTGTGTGTGTGTGTGTGTGTGTGTGTTTCTCAGACATCACAGCAAAGGAGTTCATTGAACTGAGAGGGAAGCAGCGGAGCCGCTACGAGCTGCTGGTGGACTTCCTGTCTAAGATGCTCTACGTTCCGCCTGATGATATCAACATATTTAGCCTAATGGATGTGAAGGTGCAGATGCTGGATGTTCGCTTTGCCGTGCACGGTGGCGCCACCTTCCTCCAGCCAGAAAAAATCCATGGTTATCTTACCGCCCACAAACAAAAGGTAAGTCTTTGTGTTATTTTAGGATGGAAGAGTGGTATTTACTTGTTACTCATTAAAGAGAAGACAAAAAGGCCGGAAACAAGTAAGAATCAAATAATTTCATGCTGATCTTTGCTCTCTGTAAGTGTCAAATACCTCTGTACACTTTGCGTATTGTCTGCCTAAACTAAATATTGAGTACTATGACTTTGTATAACTTTATGTTAACTTGCCCAATTATTTCTTCCCACTTTAAATTGTGGGGCTATTTATGTGTATGTATAAAGTATCCAATTAAAGCTCAGAGTTGACACTTGAACCTCATTATCATTGAGCTTGAGCACAGACTCAAACAACAGAAATGTAATATTTGTGGCTGTGACTTTGTGGTATCTGTTGCTTCTTTAATACACCAACTCACGCCAGAAAGAGACATGTGTTTTTCGGTGTAGCATCTCGAGTCTATTTATACTCATTTCAATGGATCAAGTGCTTAAATCACATGGACTGCCAGAAAACTATTTCACTGAATACTTTGTAAAATGATGCAAAGACACAAAATAAATAAAATCATGAACACTTATTTCAATATTCTGCTATGACATTAAGCCATGTTTCACAAAAATGGTGTCAGTCGTTTTTTTGTAATCCCACAGACAGACGAACGGAAAAACTAAAATTGCTATAAACCATGACCTTCTTGGCATAGGTAATATCTTTTTAATATTATATTCAAAATACAAAATTGGGGATGATGAATTCCTCTGGTGATTACTTGAATCAAACCAAATGAGTAATATGAATGTGGCAATGACCATGCAACATAAAAATAAAGATGAATAGAAATGTTTGTTAATTGCATTGCATTTCAGTCATTCAAAAACACAAATGACTTTTTTAGCTTACTTCATTCAGGTGTCCCATTCTGGAGTAAGGTAACATGTCTTCTTCTCCTACAGAGGTGGTATATGAGAAGCAAAAATGTAAATTTAGAGACAGAGAGATAAGCCCACTGCTACTGTGTCTAAACAAAACCTTAAATGGTTTGAACTGCAATTATGCCTAATTAATGGCAGATTCATATTACCCACAGTTGTACAGTTTGTCTGAACAGGACACCCATGGTGAACATGTTGTACTTCCTTTTAGTGTCAGTAATACACAGTTTACAGGTATCCAAAGATCAGCCTCAACCAGGTTTAACTGAACCATTTCTGATATCTGGGACACAGCTAAATGGGACCTGTTTTTGGCCATTGTGTTAGACAGTTCTTTTCTGGGCCAACCCAGGAAGTTATTTCGATTTTATTCATATTCCAGTGTCGAACATCCTTTTAAATCCAACCCAATTTGACTTTTGCGTGTGGATTATCCCTGTAATACTCTGGCTGTTGCGGTCGCAGGAAGAAATGGATACAAACTCCTGTTGAACTGTGCAGTTTAAAAAAGAGAAAGGTCTACAACGTTACATAGATCTTATTCAGTCTTAAAGTGTATTAATACATTTCATTCGAGCCACTGGAGAGGGCAGGCCGGGCAGAATGGAAAAAAAGCACATGATCATTACCTAGAGGAGAGTTAGTGGAAAACAAACGTTTCACTTCATCACACCGAAGCTGCCTGGCCGCTGGTCTCAGTCAGACCTCATTTCACGTTTCAAAAGTCTGAATGAGAGTGTGTGTGTGTGTGTGTGTGTGTGTGTGTGTGTGTGTGTGTGTGTGTGTGTGTGTGTGTGTGTGTGTGTGTGTGTGTGTGTGTGTGTGTGTGTGTGTGTGTGTGTGTGTGTGTGTGTGTGTGTGTGTGTGTGTGTGTGTGTGTGTGTGTGTGTGTGTGTGTGTGTGTGTGTGTGTGTGTGTGTGTGTGTGTGTGTGTGTGTGTGAAAGCTTGAACCATAGAAAGTTGAATTGTATGCCGGGGGAGAGGAAGAGAAAGGGCTAACCCGATGCCCTCAGAGGAAATGAGCCCGTCAGAATTTGCATGTGTGAGAGTGTGTGTGTGTTATTGGGTGTGTGTGTCCAGTCATGGCCATGGTGGTCAGTTCAGGTCAATCTACGAACTCAGCCATTGGCCTCTCGTAGCTTCTTAACTGCGCTCCCTCTTTTTCTTGTGACTATTGTCGAAAAAAGACACAATGCGAAAGATGGTTTTGGAACAAGAGTAGAAATGTACAAATAAGTTCTGATGATTGGAAAATCATGGCAACAGAGGAAGCAGAGAGGAAGAGGAAGATGTGCTTGCAGCAGCTCAGGTGTGATTTGTGAGGCGAGTGCAGAGTGTTTAATCTGAATTCAGTCAGGGTTCTCCGGAGAAGACATTGATCAGAATGAGATGTGAAGCGTGGCGATGGAGAGGATGAATGAGAAGCAGAGAGATAGAGGGGGTGGGGGGGCGGAGGAGCTGGTAGGGAAGGGGTGAATGAGGGGGGGAGGGGATGCAGGAGATGAAGTGGTGCCTATTATTCATATTCTCCAGTAATGCCTCAGAAAAAAGAAAATCTTTATTCACTCACTTTTCTTTTGAATAATGAAAGTTATCCCTCAGTGTGTTCAGTCCAGCTCGCTCTGCTTGACTTTTAATGATGCTACATGGGTTTTTCTGACTTTTGAATAATCATTGGTATGGCGCTCTTCTACCAAAGTTCATCTTGGTATTATTAATGTGGTCCTGGAAAGGATTGTTGGAGAGGGGTCAAGTAACAGAGGACCAGGGGGACCTTTTTGTTCCAACACACTAAGAAGCCTCAACAATCCATGGGAGCCTGCCTGCAGACCTCCACTCTCAGGACAGTTCCGGTGCAGACCTCCACTCTCGGGACACCTCCACTGTCAGTACAGGAAGAATTTCTGTATTGTTACAGTTTTACAAAGTAAAAGAAGAACAGTAAAGTCAAGAAAGAAAACCTTGCATCTTTATTGGAGGACTTTTAAATGTTAGCTAACTGTCTAGCTACGCATAGGGATACGCGCTGGAAGGGCAAAACAGTTCAATCAATCTAACGGACACAGGCCGTGGGGGGACACCCGAGACCGGGCAGTGTCCCCGGTAGAAACCGGGTGAAATAGCCTAAAAAATATGGCACTCGTGAGGCGGGCAGAGTCCCCTGTCAACTCCTGTTACATTCCTCTATGGTGTCATTTGAGCGAAAAACTCCATGATGAGTCTCCATTGTGATTTGAAAAATTCCATCAAACGAGTCCTTCGGTGGACGGGAAAAAAATCGTGTTCGTCAGAATCGTCACTTCCTGTACTGACAGTGGAGGTGTCCTGAGAGTGCAGCCTGCAACGGAACTGTCCTGAGAGTGGAGGTCTGCAGGCAGGCTCCCATGGATTGTTGAGGCTTCTTAGTGTGTTGGAACAAAAGGTCCCCCTGGTCCTCTGTTACTTGCTATACAGGGTTCTGCCTTTGAAAGACCCAACGTATGCCTTAGTTCATTTCATTTGGGAGACTATAAGATGTGGCATGCTGATTCATTTTCATCTAGGCTTTGGGGGTTAAGAAATAGATGGAGCATTTTCTTGAGTATAATATGCAGAGAAAATAAATGACACAATGACACAAAAGAATGAAAGAAAAACAATACTTTCCATAAATAATTGAAAATGTCTTATTGGCTAAGACGAATTGAAGCATGAATGTAGCACTCTTTTGGGTGTCCTTGAACAGAATCACTCATTCTTTTATAAGATTAGGTGTCAGGCAAAGAGAAGTTATTTCCTGGTGAATATCTCAGCTGTCTACCGACTTCTTTTTAACCACCTGACACCCAGCATGACTTCATCGTTATTCCCCAGGTGTCTCCCTACTGTTTGACTCCCTTCTTCATCTCCTGCACCCCCCACCCTTCTCCCACTGCATGTCTCATTGTCTTTTAATGTCTAGGAATTGAAGGATCCATTATCCTGTGCTGGGAAGAACCAGCAGACCTACATTAAGGAGAGACCCAGTTGACCGGACTCCATCTCTTATTTACATCTGTCCATCGATTCATAATGCATTTGTGTTTTATAATATAGATACGCATAGTGCACTTCATTCAGTCACAGTGAGCTTAAAACGATACATTACAATAGATTCCAATGAAGCCAAAATATTCAGGATTTGTCTGAAAACAAACCCTTCTCAACTTCTTACATTATAATGTCAAATGGTACACAGTAACCACATGAACTATTTTTTATTTAAGCAACATTTTAAGTATAAATATTGTAATCAGAACTTTATGATATGTTATGACATTGTAACATATACTCTCTAAAGGGACAGAGGGGATTATGGAATGCTGCAATGATCTGTTTGGTATTTGGAGCCAATTTTTTTTTGTATATATCTGAGAGCTATAATATTGATGAAAAACAGTATAATAGGGGACTTTAAGTAGCTTATTTTGTACCTTGACTGTATCTATTGATTTAGTGCAATTAAAAAAAAGTAGTGGCTCAATTTGCACATGGCCTCAATCCAGACTCTACTAGGGAACTGGCAGAATAAAATCCTTTTAAAGTCTGTCTAATTTCAGTGCCACATGTCTCAAAAGGAGATACAAATCAGGCACTTAGATCCACATCCACACCTTTTTTGTTGGACGGATCAACTGTCATGTAAGACTGAACACAAAGAATGTGGAAGAGAGTATTTATAGATACGCTTTAGGATAAACCGTAGGCCACATCCAATCATTTCAATCGGACACATCGCTCTCCGTGTTTTATTGAATCTCCGCAAGGCTGCACATACTCTCAGTAGCATAATAGCCAAGGAAAACCAATGAATAGAAGCATTCATCTTCGATTTGACTACAGTAATGACGGAGGAAGATTAAATTAAATCCGGTAGTTCTGAATGGAAAAAACATGTCCACTACTTATGTCGGCAAATGTGCTTGACTTATATGAAATAGATAAGATAAGATGGACCTTTATTTATCGCTGTAGGGGAATTCACATGTTATGGCAGCAACAGAATAAGAAGAAACACAGATAATACACATGGAATATACATTGGGGAAAAAAGAATACAAGTA